AGTAGTTAATATATGCTAGACATCATTCTAAGGACTTTAATGTGTGCTCTTATGCAATCACTACCAGATACCTATGAGGTTAGATACCCTGCCATTTTCAAAATGAAATAAGCAAGCACAGGCAAAGTAACAAACTTGTTCAAAACCACAGAGCAAGTAGTGGAGCTTGGATTCAATTGAATGCAGTATGAATTCAAAGCCTACATTTTTAACTCAACCTTATAGCCAAAGTTAGAAGGTAAGCACTGGCTAAGTCACATATAACTTTATATGCCATAGTAAGGAGCTTCAATTTATTTTTTTTATTAATTAAATTTTGAATTTTAAGTGCAGTGTAAAATCATTAAAAGATTTAAGCAAAACAATAACATTATCTGATTTACATTTCTACAGTGGCTGCTGTGTGGAGGCCAGAGGAAGGGTGGGGAGGAGTTGTATGGGTTTAAAAAAAGCAGGGGAGGCTTCCAGTCAAGATGGCAGCATAGGCAGACATGGCTCGCCTCTTTGTACAACCACATCAAAATTACAACTAAAATATAGAACCATCACTCAGGAATGTCAGAAATTGAACTTAATATAAGTCTGACAACTACAGAATTAAAGAAACTACTTCCATCCAGACTGGTAGGAGGGGCACAGACATGGAATGGGCTGGTCCTCTACCCACGTGTGGTGGGTAAAAATCCAAGAGGAATATCTTGGGAACAAGGAGTCCCAGCCCCACACCAGGTCCCCCAGACTAGGATTCCAGTGCTAGGAAGGTAAGTCTCCACAACTTCTGGCTGCAAAAACCAGCAGGGAGTCACAGCTTGAGTCAGTGAAAGAAACTGCAGGACCCCAAGAGTTCCTCTTAAAGAAGCCCCCCCACACACCTACTCAGACTCACTCCCTCTGAGCTCCAGCCCCACAGTAGCAGCTTGAAAGACACCAGTGGTATACAGGGAGAAACTGAAGTCTGGCATCAAGTCGAGCAGAGGCCATTGTCCCTTTGCTAAACCCTCTCCCCACAGAGCTGGCAGGCTGTAGCCATTTCTGAGACTCCATCAACCTGGCTAACACTGTGTGATCCACCTTGGAGATACCCAGAGGCTCTGCCCCACCCAACTTACAGGTCCACTCAAGCTGCTTTTCCATAAGAATGGCTGGTCTTGGCTCCTAAATCCTATCAAACTAGTAACAGCTGGCCTAAGTGAGCCCCAGAGGCAGCCAGATTAGAGTCACAGCTTGGCTTTACTTGGGAATCTCCAAGCCCAGCACGAGTAGCAGCCATCTCAGACTGCTTTATAGCTCAAACAGGGCATCCTAGGCAAAACACAGTTGGGAGCTGATCTTAGCCTGCACCACCTGGGAAACCCCGGGGCCAGCACACCTAGTGGACATCTACAGACCATGTTGGAACACCACCACTCAGCCCCTACACAGCTGATCCTCCACAGAGGGCAGAGGTCAGTTGTCAGTGGTCACTGCCAATCCTTGCAGCTGAGTGGCCTGGGTAAATCTCTCCCATTGACCTGCCAACAGCAACCAAAGCTCGACTACAAGAGAAGGGAGTACTCAGCCCACATGAAGGGTGCACCTTGAGTACCCAGCTTGGATGATAGGGGAGGCTATGCCACTGGATCCTACAGGACACCTACTGCACTAGACCACACCACGAAGACATGGAGTCAAAGCAGCTCTACCTAATACATTGGGAAAAAAACCCAACAACAACAACCAAAAAACATAAGGGGGGTGCCAAAATGAGCAAAGAAACATGGCCCAAATGAAAGAACAGATCAGAACTCCAGAAGAAGAGGTAAACGAAATGGAGATAAGCAATCTATCAGAGGGAGGGTTCAAAACACTGGTTATAAGAATGCTCAAGGAACTTTGTGAGGACCTCAGCAGCACAAAAAAAGATCCAGTCAGAAATGAAGGATACACTAATTGAAATAAAGAACAATTTACAGGGAAACAACAGTGGAGTAGATGAAGCTGAGAATCAAATCAATGATCTGGAACATAAGGAAGCAAAAAAACAACCATGCAAAACAAGAAGAAAAAAGATTCCAAGAAAATGAGGATAGTCTAAAAAGCCTCTGGGACAATTTCAAGCATTACAACATTCGTATCATAGGGATGCCAGAAGGAAAAGAGAAAGAGCAAGAAATTGGAAATCCATCTGCAAAAACAGTGAAAGAAATCTTCCCTAATTTGGTGAAGGAAATAGACATGCAAGTTCAAGAAGCACAGAGTCCCAATTATGATGGATGCAAAGAGGCTCACTCCAAAACACATCATATTTAATAGGCCAAAGGTTTAAGATAAAGAGACTCTTAAAAGCAGCAAGAGAAAAATTAGTTACCAGATAGTTGCCACATAGGAAAGGGGAGGGGTAGAAGGGGCGAAGGTGAGGGGATTAAGAAGTACAAATAGGTAGTTACATAATAGCTGTGGGGATGTTAAGTACAGTATAGGAAATGGAGTAGCCAAAGAACTTACACACCTGACCCATGGGCATTAACAATGGTAGAGCAACTGCTGAGGAAATAGGGGGTACTGGGTGGAGGAGCCCAAGGGGGACAGCTGTAATAGCATAATCAATAAATCATAATAAAAAAAAAAAGGAACCAAGAAAGTAGCCAGGAGAGAAAGGATGGCAGTCTGGACTAAAAGTAGTTTCAAGATCTATTTTGAAGCAAATCAAATTAGACTCGCCTATGATTTGGATCCCATGGAATAAGAGAAGAGGAAAGTCTAAAGTAAACTCCTTAGTAACAGAGGGATCACAATGAATAAAAAATGAAATGACTCAGAACCAGGCTAAGTTTGGGAAGGAGGGATAGATTCATTTAATCATTCAACAAAATGTATAAGCATCTACTATGTGAAGATACAGCAGAGTACAAAACTGATAAAAGTCTTGCCCTCATAGAACTTACATCGCTGGAGTGGAAGGCAGTTAGACATATTAATATGTAAGTCATAGATGGTGATGAGTGCTATGGAATACAATAAAGCAGGTAACTTAGAAAGGAGGTCACTATTTCTAACGGTCAAAAAGAGTTTCTTTAATAAATGAGCAGAAGCCTAAAGGAAACAAAGGAGGCAGCCCTGAAGATTTCTAGGAGAAGAGCTTCTGGCAGTCCGAACAAGACTGCAACGCCATGAAGCAGAAGTGTTCCTGGTCCATTGGAGGACTGGCACAGAGGCCAGGGTGGTACAGCAGAGTAAGTAAATAACTACTGTTATTTAACAGATCAGAGAACAGGCAATACAGAACTCTGGTTAACAACTTTGGCTTTTTTACTTTTTGGCAAAATCTTTTGGGAAGCCCATGAAAGATTTCAAAGAGGAATGGTGGTGTTACTCTGGTTGCAATATGGAAATAACAGTATGAGGGAGCAAAGGTGGAAGCAAGGGCTCAAAAGGTAATATTTCTTTGGTTGGATCGGCCCAGTAGGTGATGAAAAGGACTTAGGCTTTGAAGAGTGGACAGAATTTGTTTTAGTTAGGGTGACTTTAAGAGAGTTGTCAAGGAAGACTGGTAGTTTTTTTTTACTTTACCAAAGAACGAGGTTACCATTTACTGGGTTGGCATGTGAGCATGTGAGGAACAGATGTATGATGCAAAATAGTAAGTTCAGTTTGCCAAGACAGAGATACTTATTACAAATTTAAATACATATGTTGAGCAGACAGCTTTTTTCTAGACTCCAGAGAGGTCTGGGTTGGAGATACAGTGTGGCACTCTTCAGCATACAGATGCTATTTAAGTCAAGAGAACGGAAGTGGGAAAACACAGATAGAGGGTCCAGAACTGAACACCTGAAAACCTCCATCAGTTAGACATTCCCATCTCATACCTAGTATTCTTTAAATGAAAAAAAAAAAAAAAAAAAGACGGGTTTAATTTTTAAAGCTACCACTTACAACTTTCTAAAGTCATCGAGTGCATCAATGAGACACAACGAAACGATTATATCCTACAAATCTCAAAAGAGAAAAAAAGAAACGAAATCCATTCATAATTAGACGAATGCTAGGAACTCAAAACATTTCCAAATACAGAGGTTGTACAAACCAGTGGTTAAGTAACTGCATTGTATACGGGTTCAGTATGACTGGATCTTAATTCTGTCTCTACACTTATGTCTGTGACCTAGGGAAAGGCACTCACTGAGTAGTTTCCTCAGCAATAGATTGGGGATAATAATTTATTGGGTTATTGTAAGTGAATTAATACCTGAACTTTTGCGATCAAAAAGTTAGCTATCTTACTATTATTGACGCTAAGTTATTGAAACAAAAATTAGGAGAGAGAGAGACCCTTCAATTTAACACACTAACTCTTCAATTACCTTAACCATGGACTTATAGTTCTATTTTGATTTCCAAACAAGGCCGAAACAGGTTCGTAAATTCAATTCTCTTAACTAAGGGCTTACAGCTCCTAGTCTGGAGTTGAAAACAAAGCCAGAAGGCATCCCCAAACTCCTTAGCATCCAAAAAAAAGTCAGGGAACTAGCTCGTCCCAGTTCACACAGAGTAAGCAAGTCTGATAACAAGATCCAGCTGTGGCACAGGGCTCCAGGGCTCGAGTCCCTCTTGATTCCCTTCTGGTCTCTCTTCTAGAGAATGAATGTGATTTCGATGACAGAGAAAGGTTAAACCAAGCCTTGAATGGGAGTGCAGCAAAGTGTCGAGAATCCAACTCTACGGCGGAAAGAGGGGGAAACTTGTCTAGAATCACCATCTATCCAATTTCACTAGTACCCAGGAGCACGGTGGGGTCAGAATCTTCTCGAGGGGGTTATGGGGAAATGGCAACTTAATCTGGCCCCCAACTCCGACCCTGTTCCCTGGAAGCACATTAGCTACGCTGTCTCCACCTCCTCTCGCGGGATTCCGCGGTCCACACCTGGGCCTCGACCTCCAAGCTCGAGCCTCCAGTCTCCAGCGCGGAGCCGGAGGAGACACCCCGGGAAGAAACAATAGGGCCGTGGCGGCCCCCGTACCTCTCACGGTCGCGGCCGTCGAAGTAGACGAAATCGCCGTTCTGAACGCACTTGGCGCAGGTCAGCCGGCGGCGGGTGGTGTTGCACAGCGGACAGCGCTCGACCGCCACGTACAGCCCCTCCGCGTCGTCTACCGAGTCCACCAGGTCTGCGGCGAGCGGCCGAGGCCCGCAACCAGGAGCCTCCGGCGCTCGGGCTCCCTTCCCACTGGGAGACGCCATGATAGCCTGAGAGCAGAGTCAGTCACGTGGGATTTTGTTTTCAACCAGATGCATCCTGGGCGAGGAGGAGGGGCTTGGGGAGGCGGCGGGGGCTCGCGCGGGGGTCAGCGGGACCTGGTGGGCCGCCTCAGCTTGGGCGGGCGGCGGTGTTGCTTTACCTGTCCGCGGAGGGGCAGCGGGTCCCCAAGCCGAAGCTTGTTAGAGAGGCCAGTCAACCAAACAAAATGCCATCCCTTCTGGGTCACGCCAAGGCTACAGGTTAACGCCTCTAATTTGTGCCCCAAGGATTCCGGGCTAATGTATTGGGAACAAAAGAAGGGACTTTTATTCTCTTATGGATGCTTTAAAATTTGGTTAGAACTACAGCTGGGTCTTGGGATGAGGTTTAATTTTGGCTCACCTACTTCCTTAACATCTGCGTGATTTGGGGCAAATTCCTAACCTGTCTTGGCCTGTGTTTTCACCTGTTAGAGAAGTACCTACCTAACCAAGGTCGTGAGAATTCCTGAGCAAATACGTTGACTAGTAATCTAATAATACTTTAATAGCTAACCAGTGGGAACAACTATACTACTGAATGTGGAAATCAATTTTGTATCTTTCTGAAAAGAGAATTTTAATTAAGGTACTGAGCAACATTCTGCTCTCCCCTCCCACCCCCAGCTACTCTGGGGCCCACACTGAGGAAGAATTTGAACTCGATAGGATTTAACCTAGATAGGATTCCACTCCCAGTTTCTTTTTCAGGGAGGGGTAAAATAGGGTGGGTCAAAAGTTTTTGTCAGAGTAATCAGTGTTTGAATATACCTCTAACCCACAGAAGGGAAAAAGAAAAGTGGGCTTATAGGTCAAATTACTTACACCAGTGATTTTCAAAGATTGTTTTGGTAGGCTGTCAATTGATGACTGCTGCCCAAAATTCTATCTCTAGCAGGGACTTTTCTCCCAGGTTTCATACCTAAAGATTCATAACTGCCTGCTAGGCATCAAGTGATGTACTGTGGTCACCATAAGCTCAGCATGTTGGAAACAGAACTCTCCCTTCTCACAAATGTTTCCTCCTCTTGGTGAAAGACATAATCACTACCACTTGGGGTCGCAAGTCGGTCAGCTTCATCCCTCCTTGTTAACCTCCACATCTCGGTAAAATGCTGATGATTCCACAGACTAATTAGGTCTTGAATCTAAAACCTTTGCTCCATCCCCTTAGTCTTATCTGGTCTGTTTTAATACAATTACATAGGATTATAAAGGCACACAAAAAGCAAAAATTCCCCATACTGTTTTAAAATACGGGGAATTTTTATTTTGGCTCACCTACTTCCAGCTTACACTAAAGCTTCCAGCTTACACTAAACCTGGATGGTTCCTAAAAGTTTTAAGATTTATTGTTATGTGAGAGAAATAACTTTTTCTGATCATTTAAAAAAATTTTATTAAGGTTTCAGACTTTCATAGTTCATTTGTATTCTGACAGGACCCTTCACAGTGCCTGTACCTAATAGTTGGGGTCATCTAATTAAGTATTTTAAAAGACAAAAAGCAGACACATTAATTTCTGTCCTAGATATTACAGATAGTACCTATGTTATGCAGTTATTTGCAATTTCTATATAGCACTATGCATTTTCAGGGGACACTTTATGCACTACATCTTTAACAAGAGCAGAATGTTAAATTTTAATGATGCTACAAAATCATTCTAGCAAGGCCCTAAATCTCTCACATTCTGAAATAAGTTTACTTGTTCAGTTTTAAAAATAATATATAAGTAATTTTAAATATGAACTTTTCTTCATAGGCATGGTTACTCACATAGAATCACGCTTTAATAACTAAAGTCAAAATATGCATGAAACATCTACAATTAAAGGTAGAAAAATCCAGCTGTTTCTGTGTTGAGTTTATGCACATACTCAAACCAATATACTGTGAGATGAATGATATACTCAGGCTTTTTTAAAACCCTTTAGAATAGGATAGATGTTTTCAAATGCTTCATAGATCTCAGAACGTTCTTTGGCACCTGTAAAGAAAACCCAAGTTTATATCATCTTTAATATAAGAATATTTACAGTTTTTTCTTAAGCCTAAAATTTCATCGTTGCTCTGAATAGTGTGGCTCAGCCGGGCATCACCCCACAATGCTCAAGGTCGCTGGTTCAATTCCTAGTCAGGACACATGCCTGGATTGCACATTTCATGAAAGTCAACCAATCAATATTTCTCTCCCCTCTTTTCCCCTCCCTTCCCCTCTCTAAAAATAAAAATTAAATCTTAAAATGTCATTGTCATCTTTAATTACTTTTAATACTGTGACATCTCTTGAGGTGTATCTGAGAAGTGACATTTATTCCTGGTAAAGACAAAAGAATTTGGTGATTACATCCACATTTCCACAAACACACACCCTCAGCAGAGTTTTCTAGTACTTCCACTGTTTGGGTGTATCAGATTATCTTGAGCCACACAGGGCTCAATATGAAATATGGGATGTTATTTCTGAGTGTGCCATGAATATCGCCCCAAAACCTGACCTTTCATCAGCACCTGTAGGCATTTAGCTACCGGCTAAATGATCTTTCATCCTTTGATCCACTTATCCCTAGTTAAAATTTTGATTCCCTAATGTTGACTAACAGACAAACTGGCGCTGAAGTTTTAAATGTCAGTGTATGGGAAGCGCTTATTAGAGGGAAAAATTGTACTGTGTTAGCCAAAAAGTTCATTGAGTTTTTTCCATACGATGGCTCTAAGTAATGCTTAGTTGTTTTCAACTTCGTTTGAAAAAATTCTGTTAGATTGCAGTGTGACAACTGTCACATCAGGATGCATGTTAAAAAAAATCAAAATTGGTGAATTTTTGTGCAGCCATGTTAACATTGAATAGGAAGAAAATAGGCAACATTTTTGGTATATTATGCTTTATTATTTCAAGAAAGGTAAAAATTAATTCAAAGGCAAAAAAAAAGATTTGGGCAGTGTATGAAGAAGGTGCTGTGACTGAATGTGTCATAAGTGGTTTGCAAAGTTTCTTGGTACTATTGACACCAGCCAAATAATTCTTTGCTGTGGGGCTGTCTTATGCACTGGAAGATGTTTAGCAGTACACCTGTCCTCTACCTACTGGAAGCAAATAGTGGGAGATAGCTGACATACTCAAAATGTCCAAATCAATAAAGTTATTGGTGGCAATTTAAAATGTATCTTTTATAGAAAAACTAAATGGACTTTTTGACCAACCCAATACCACTGTCACCCTTAGGAGTCTTCAATTTCAAGAGATCTTTAATTATAACAAGCTGCTGTAGGAGTTAAAGGGATAAAAACATGAATTAGACATGGTCCCCACCCTTGAGAGATACCAGTCAGTCCCTACTCATCTCTCCCCACCAAAGCCACTACTAACTACTTCCACCTTCAAAGCTATGCAGGCACAATGTGCTAAGTAAGGGCACAGCCTGGTATTACTTATGTATATGGAGCTGTCCACTAATCAGGAAATTATTATCTGATATTATTATGGGAAGGAGGCAAGGAGATTAATGAAAGGAATATAAAAACTTTGAATGAAGAGGAATGAAAAATAGCTTAAGTTGCTAAAGGCTTCTTTGAGGGCTACCAAGTTAGAGAGGGAGGAGGCTCAGTAAGAGAGCAGAAATAACATGAGAAGTGGTTATCTGGTTTAATTACAGGACTGATCACGGAATTACCAAAAGGAGGATCACCAGATTTGAGGAGTGGGTAGAATCAGGATGTAGAACCAAAGATGAGCTGTAATTTAAAAAATGGAAAATGGCAAACATTGGTAAGGCTAGAGAGAATTTGGGACCCTCAGACATTGCAATGAGAATGTAAAAATGGTTCAGCCACTATAGAAAACCATTTTGCAGTTCCTCCAAAAAGTTAAAATAAGAATTACCACAAGAACTGGCAATTCCACTCCTAGGTATATCTCCCCTCTAAATTAAAAACAGGCACTCAAGTAACACATGTAGACTTCTGTTGATTGTAGCACTATTCAAAACAGCCAAGAAGGAAAACAACCTGAGTGGTATATATACACAATGGAATATTATTCAGCCGTAAAAAGGAATTAGGTACTGATATATGCTACAATGCAGATCAACCTACAAAGTAACTGAAAGCAACCAGACACAAAAGGTCACATACTGTATGATTTCATTTCTATGAAGTCATCAGAACAGATAAATCCAGAGACCATGCAGATTGGTGGTTACCAGGGGTTAGTGGGAGGTAGGAATGGAGAGAAACTTCTTAATGACATGGGATTTTATTTTAGAGTAATGGCAGTGTTTTGGAACTAGACAGAGGTGGTGGCTGTACAATATTGTGAATGCACTAAATGCCACTGAATTGTTCACTTGATGGTTAATTTTATGTTATGTGAATTCTACTTCAATACATTTTTCAGTGTTTTTAAAGAATCAAAGATAAGTCTTTATGAGCTTAAATTACACTTGAGAAATAAGGAAATGTTACTTTTTAGTAAAAGCCAAAGCATTTATTACTCCATCCTCAAAGATTTGAGATAGAGATGAGTAGTTATTGACATAGTAGCAGAAAATCTGTATCTTTGGGGTAGAAGAAACCCCATATACCTCAGATAAAATCTTAGTTTCTAGAGAGAATGGTTTTGTAGAAACCAAAGAGTGAATTGGGGAAGAAATAAGACACCAGTATATAAAACTCTGCCTCTGGTTTGATGGATTTTTTGGCTTCTGCATACATTTGAATGGAATAGACTTCTTTTAGGAGACAGTGACATATATATAGGAAATACACTTCCATTCCCCACCCCATACTCTAAAAATACCAAAACTAAATACCCCTTTTTACATTTCACTGAGGAACAGAGTGTCTAGGTCCAGAATTTTGGATAATTATGCACTTCAGTTTTATCATAACACTTAAAAGAAAAAGTCAGACCTAAGAACATTGCATTCAAGCCTAAAGACTGCAACATTCTGGTATCCCCTGGGGAGTGAAAACACCCATCACCCAAGAGGGACCAGGTATTGAGAGTGATCGTTATTTTATATCATAGGAAACCTTTAGACACAAAGGACTTTGGGGAGATTATCTAGTACCATTTTTTCACTCCATGTGTGGGAGTACTGGGGCCCAAATGTTGAAGTTTCTTTGAAAAATGAGTAGCAGCTATGGGAGAAAACTTCATGTATCTAGTGGTCCTTCTTTTACACCAAAAGTTGTCAAATAAACATTGCCAGGATTTGTAACTGGGTATTAAAATGAGCAGATTTGGTCAATCTGGTCAAATACCTCCACTGAAATTACTGGCATCAAAACTTTCAGGGAACCCAAAGCAATCTACAGATTCAATACAATCCCTATCAAAATGTCAATGCCATTTTTTTTCCTGAACTAGAATAATCCTAAAATTTATATGGAACCACAAAAGACCCTGAATAGTCACAGCAATCTTGAGAAAGATTAGTGTTGGAGGTCTCATGCTGCTTGATATCAAACTATACCACAAAGCTATGGCAATCAAAACAGCATGGCACTTGCATAAAAACAGACACATAGATCAATGGAACAGAATAGAGAGTCCAGAAATCTACACCTATCTGGTCAATTAATCTACGACAAAGGAGGCAATATACATGGGGTAAAGACAATCTCTTCAATTCATGGTGTTGGGAAGACTGGACAGACACCTATAAAAATGAATACAGACCTCTTTCTTACACTGTACACAAGAATAAACTCAAAATGGATTAAATACTTAAATGTAAGACCTGAAACCACAAAATTTGGCTCCACAAAGGAAACCACTAACCAAACAAAACGGCAACCCTCCTTTTCATGGTGACTTGTAGGTGATCAGCTGCTTCAGGATGAGGCTGAACACCTCTTTTCCAGCCACTGGCTGCCAGAAACTCATTGAAGTGAATGATGAATGCAAACTTTGTACCTTTTATGAGCAGCATATGGCCACGGAAGTTGCTGCTGACACTCTGGATGAAGAATGGAAGGATTATGTGGTTCGAATCAGGTGTGAGAATGACAAAGTTTTCCCATCAAGCATGTCTGCCTGCTGCTGAGTAAGGGGCATTCCTGTTATGGACCAAGGAGGACTGGAGAAAGAAAGTGCAAATCTGTTCAGGGTTGCAGTGTGGATGCCAATCTCAGTGTTCTCCACTTGGTTATACTAAAAAAAAAAGGGTGGGGGGAGGGTGGTAGGGGGAAGATATTCCTATTCCTGGTCCCTATTGCTTCTGTGTCCTATTGCCTGGGGCCCAAAAATCCTTGGGGATTTTTGGCAAACAGCAGAATTGGCGAACTTTTCAACCTGTCTAAAGAAGACAACATCTGCCAATATGTTGTGAGAAAGCCCCTAAACGAAGAAGGTAAGAAACCTAGGACCAAAGTACCCAAGATTCAGTGTCTTTTCACTCCACGTGTCCTGCAACACAAACATTATCCTATTGCTCTGAACAAACAACATACTAAGAAAAATAAGGACGAGTCTGCAGAATATGCTAAACTTTTGGCTAAGAGAATGAAGGAGACCAAAGAAAAATGCCAGGAACAGACTGCTGAGAGATGTAGGCTGTCCTCTTTGAGAGCTTCAACTGCTGAGTCCAGTCAAAAATGAGTTTCTAAGAGTTACTAATAAATAATAACAGGCATCAAAAAGCCAAAATAAAACAAAAACAAAAAGGCAAACTACTGAATGGGAGAGATATTTGCAAATAATATATGCAATAAGGGGGTAAATAGCCAAACTATATAAAGAACTCATTCAGCTCGACATTAAACAACAACAACAAACAATCCTATTAAAAATGGACAGAGGACATAAATAGACATTTCTACAAAGAGGACATACAGATGGCCAACAAGCACATGAAAACGTGTTCAACATTACTAGTCATTAGGGAAATGTAAATAAAAACCATAATGAGATATTACCACACACTTGTCAGAATGGCTGTCAACAATAAATCAACAAACATGTTGGCAAGGATGTGGAGTAAAGGGAGCCTTAGTGTACTGTTGGTGGGATTGTAAGCTGGTGAAGCCACTATGGAAAACAATATGGAGATGTCTCAAAAAATTAAAACTAGAATTACCATGTGACCCAGCAATTCCACTTCTGGGTATTTATCAGAAGAAATCTAAAACACTAATTCAAAAAGATATGTGCACCCCTATATTCACTGCAGCATTATTTACAATGGCCAAGATATGGAAGCAACCTCAGTGCCCAGCAATAGATAAGTGGATAAAGAAGCTGTTGTACATGTATACAATGGAAGATTACTCAGCGATAAAAAAGAAGGAAAGCTTGCCATTTAAGACAACATGGATGGACCTAAGGGGTATTGTGCAAGTAAAATAAATCAGACAGAGAAAGACAAATACCACATGATTTCACTTTACATGGAATCTAAAAAACAAACTGACAGAACAGAAACAAACTCAAAGATACAGAAGCAAACTAATGGATGCCAGATGGGAGGGTGTCAAGGGATAAGTGAAAAAGGTGAAAGGAATTAAGAAGTGCAAATTGCCAGTTGTAAAAACAGTCATGAGGATGTGAAGTACAGGGAATAGTCAATAACACTGTAATAATTATGTGTGGTGCCAGATGGGTACTAGAATTATAGGAGCGATCACTTTGTAAGGTATATAAATGTCTAATGACTATATTGTACACCTGAAACTAACATACTGTTTGTCAATGATAATTGAAAATATATAAATAGCAAAAAAAAAACTTTAAGGGACCCTAAGTTGGCCCCATACTCCTTTATTTAAATAATCAGTCAATAATTAAACATCTCAATTTGTACCACCAGAATCCAACTAGATGACCTTTGCCTTTTAAGCAAAACTTACCAGTCCTTCTTTCAGGTTATAATGACCACTGCTTTGTGGGTAAACATCATTCCTAAACTTGGTGACTGAGGTGGAAATTCTGTGGCTGGAAATTCACTAGAGAAAAAACTGGCCTTGAGATCAAATGATAAGTGCTCAAAAGCCGTCTCCACCACTAACTAGCTCTGAAATCACAGACATTGTTTACCTTCTGAGTTTCAGTTTCCTTACCTGTAAAATAAGGACAATACCTTTCCCAAAGGGTTGTTAGAACAGGTTAAGTGAGGGAAGGTTTGTAAGAAGTCCTTTGTGAACCTTATTTTACAAAATCGAAGCCATTTTCATTGCTCTGGAAGAACGTACAGTGCTTCAGGGTTAGGGACATTGGGATGGCTGGTCCAGGTACACATGGCTCATCATTTGGTCCTGTAAGAGCCAGTACCACACAATTTGTTTATGCCTGCCTCCTTCACCCGGGCTGGGTTCCTGCCAGACGAGCAGGGTGCTTTCATAGCCTCAGCAGCTAAAACAGTATGTGTACCTGGCAGGCAGTCAGAATTTATTAAATATCAATTTTCAATATTACTTGGAATTTCTAACTCTATTTTTATACCAGGTCGTATCTACACATCTTATTTTCTCAAGTGATATCGTGTATGTACATATATTCACATATATATACACACATGAAAATCTTACAAATTAAGAAAAACAGGATTTAACTCCTAAAGACATGTGTTTCACAAAATATTAGTAGGAGATTACCAGTAACAGGGATATTCTAGTCACTCTCTGCCTACTTGCCATTTTCATGCTGCTGTCTGACTTACTCATTTTCAAGAACCATTGATATTTAGCTGATTGAGAATGACCCTCAGGAACAAAGACCCAGCTTCTCAGTCCTCTATGCTGGAGGGAAACAAGTAAACGTGAAGCATCTTACTAAAGCCTCTTTAGACCTCATATTCCTATCATCAGGGCAAGGCATCACAGCAAAATCCTGGTCTTCTTCAATGCTAGGGTCAAAAGCAAGGACAGTGGGCTTTCACCAAGAAAACGATAGCTAATGTTTACACTATGCTTACCTAGGCCAGGCACTGTTTCTGTCTCCTCATGACACTTAGCAGGTAGCTTCTATGGCCACCTTCACTTTACATATGTGGGAATCAAGGTGGAGAATTTAAACTCACTCAAGGCCCTACAGCCAACAAATGGTGACGCCTGGATGCAGAGTGGACGGTTGACCTGCACAGTCTATCCTCTCGGCCCCCATGCCACTGAGAGAGCATTTACCATACCTCAGCTGACAAGGAGGAAGGGAGAAGGTGCACAAAAGACAGGTGCACACAGGTGTTTGCATAGGATCATCATAGTATAATTCTGGAGCAAAGGCAGAACTGGAGAACAGACCCATGTATAAAAATAAAGGTCAAAAGGAGACACCGCACATTAATAAGGAGGGAAGAACATGCAGTGTTCAGAGGGCTGGCTAGCTACTTGGGGCTGGAGCGTGCAGATCAATTTGGCTCATGCCATATAAACTTGGCATTCATTATGGCAGAGAAGAATAAAATGTGTAAAAGTCAGACAGAAATAGCAAACTTCAGTAGAATGGTATGGAAAAAGGAGTCTCAACTATTCAAGAATTTTAAAAACTCTTCTTTATGTAAAAATAACAACTGGAAAAAGTCACAAATATAACAAAGAGTAATTATCTTTAATATTATGGTAAACTCATACAAATCCTTGGGGGAGGAACTAATAAAAACTAAGTGTACAAAAGGAATAATTTACAAAAGATAAAATGATGTTTGTTGGATATAGTGAAAGTAATCAATTTCTATTTCTGATTACCAGTAAGGTTAAAGCAGTGAGATCATTTCCACTTGTAAAAAAGTCATCTTTTTTTACAGAAAACTTTTCCTGTAAAAAAAGTTTTGGTTTTGAAAGCTGCTGAGGGTTTTTAGAGGATACGTAGGTGCATTGCTAGTAGGAACGTAGGATACCTGAGAACTGTGTTGTCTGTCTCTTCAAAAACAATGTGATAATTTGTGTAGAGAACCTTAAAAATAGTCATATCCTTAGACAAATTTCCATTTCCGAGCATCCAAAATAATAAAATAATTATTTCTACATGAAAATAGCCAATGCCTGTGCCAGTTATAGGCAGCAAACAAAGAAGGAACGTTTAAACAGCCGACAGTGGGAGAGCGAGTTTGCTGCAACAGCACGTCCGGGCAGAGGGCAGGAAAGGGGAGCTGCCGCTCAACCTGGCTGCTGCGCGCTTTGGTGTGGCCCGTGAGCTGAGAATGAGTTTTTTATTTTAAATGGCTGGGGGAAATTTTTTTAAAAAAGAAGAATATTACACGACACATGTAAATTATGTGAATTATGTTAGATTCACCTTTCAGACCCCTTTCCTTTCGTAACGCCTTTAGCCAGTTTTGGCACCACCATGGCAGAGTTCAGGTGTGGCAACAACGACCCGACGGCCCGCAAGCCTCTGATGTTTAGTATTTGGCCCTTTACAGAAGGAAGTTTGCTGACCTTCCTGGGAGAACACTCTGCAGCCATTAAAAGCCTTCATTAAGAGTGTGTAAGGAGGGGTTAAGTTCCATATGTTACAATGCTTGATGAAAAGGCAGGATGTAAAGATGAATGTACATGTCAAAATGACAAAAAACATGAAGAAGTTCCATTGTTTTGGGTATTGGGACTGATGGGTGAAGTTATATTCCTTTCTATTTTCTCATCTTTTTCAGGTGTGCATTCTATAATGGTGAATAAAGCCATTTAAAAGAAAAAGCCAAGCACACACACATAGCTGTTGAATTTTGTGAAAGTCAGAAAATAACTTTAGAACTTACCTGTCAACACAACTTTTCCAGACACAAAGATAAGCAGCACAATTCGTGGTTTCACCATTCTATAAATAAGGCCTGGGAACAGTTCAGGTTCATAACTGTTAAGATATTAAAGGAAAAGGTTAAAAACAGCACTATCCAACTATTTTCCTATGATATCTAAGACCCAGTAAATATTACAGCTGCATATTAAAGCAGATTTTAAAAGCTATTTTTGCTAAAAACCTTTTGGCCATCTTGATAAAAGTAGTTTTCAGTGTCCTAGGTAATTTCTTGTGCCAGCCAAGAACAGAATTCATTTTGGGTCATGACTTTTTTTCCAAGTGCAAGTCATCCTAAGCTATTAGAATTAAGGTAACTGAAGGCATCAGATCTTGTTGGTTCCATCTTTCAAAAAAAGTCTGTCAGTAAAAATTCATAGACACATTTGCTAAATTTTCCAAGTTCCACCAATAATGAGCATATTTTGCATGCATTTATAAACTGATGGAATGATCATTTTTAGTAGATAGAGCCTAAGAACTTTAGCAGATAGAATCACTGCTATTTGACTTTGTACAGGTACTGAATAAGAAAGAAAATTAAACTATCCCAAGTTTAAAAAATTCAGGCTTTGTTCCTGTACATAGTAACTCACTCTTATTTACCACGACATAGGAAGCTGGCTGCTCCACGGGGCAGAGGATGATAGGGCTTAGAACTGCTGACCTACACTCTGGCATAAAGAAGAGGAGAGGGAACTGGAAAAGCCTGAGGAGGCCACAGAAAAGAAGTCAGGAAGAGGAGGCTGATAAAGTATAACTATTCTCCAAATAGTGGCTAATGGAGAACAGATAGAAGAGAAAGAAGATATTTGAGAATTGGAACACTAGCACACACACGAATCATTGCATTTAAGGAGTGAGTCCAG